GTATGGTTTCTAGGATCCAAACCGGCAAATTTGCTCATTGATTGGAATCACAAACTTACTTCCCATATAAACTTATCCTTAAAAAGTTGTTTTTGATGGGACGACAATAACTCAGTTATGTGATTCATGTATTAATATTATCCCAACTTATGCAGACGAAAGTATCACATTGGAAGGCCTTGTTTTGTGTGGTCTCATTCTTAGAGAGGTGTCGATGTCAAATGCTTTATATATCCAATTATTGTGATTTGGATTGGACTGTTATCAAAACGGTTAGTATTATTTGGTGATTTTCCTATATCATGCATAGAAGACAAAGAAACTTTGCACAAAAAAAAAAGAAAAAAATGAAAAAGAAAAGAAGACAAAGAAACAAATGACGGCGTCACGCACAATATTGGCATGTACATGAAAATTTAAATGGATGAAATTCGTTATTTACAATGTTTCATTTCAAACCAAAAAACTACTAATTAAAAAAATATATGAGAAATTAATTCGTCAAAATCAAATAATTGGGAGTTTTTTAGTTTAGGAAAAGAATGAAAAAGAGAATATCAGACAGAGAGGCAAAACTAACGTGCAAATGCTTACAACTTTCCCTGAATATCGAACATTTTATTGCGGCGACATTAATATTAACCATCAATTAATATCATAAATACTAAATATATAAACATATACGAAACCATTTCAACCTATATTCTAGCGAAACCACCACAACTTTTCAGTTTTCACATGTTTATGTCTCATCTTTTCTTAAAACATTATTTCACTTTGCATTATATTCTCACGTATGAATTAATTACTATCATTTTACTTGTTCTTAGATATACATTCATTGCTTCTTTAGTTGAATTTTATAATTTTTATTAAAAGCTTTGGCATGTTTTTGTTATCATCATGCAAAATTCTGCAATGAAGAAGATAGTTTTATATATATTTGTAAAATAGTTTTTTTATATTTTCAATCTCTATAGGCATCAACTACTCTGCTTAAACCCACATCTAGATTCACATCGAATAACTAACTAAGAACAATCTGTCTTTCAAATAAAATCATATACAAACAACAAAGTTTTTTGTACGAGAATAAAATATTTACGTATATAATAAATAAAAGTCCTAGATTACAATCATGGGGTCTTGCATGCTCCACGAACAGTAAAGGTACGGTCGTTTTCCATCAATAACTTAAGACATCGGAATCAATTGTTTAAGTCCACCTTTGTCTTTAAATAGCCACAGATTCAACCTCAAAATCTAATTCATTATTAAGCATTTCATAACACATATATCATATATTACTACTACTCACGATCAACGAATTTTAAACCTAAGTAAACAATTTTTTTTTTTTTTTATATTTGTAGTTTGAATATGGCAAAGACTCGTCGTTTAGTTTACCTTTTCCTTAGTATTCTCCTTATCTGTGAAGTCATCGACAAGGCGCAGAGTAGTCGTTTAAGGTGTCATCATCCAGAAGATTATTCATGTAAGAAACGTTCAAGCCATCACCATCATCATCATCATCATCATCACAAGGACACTCTCAGTGAATCAAATCTTCGAGGAAGCAATAGCATCAAGGCGAGGAGGAGCAAGGATATTTATGGCCTCGATGCTTTCCGGCCTACCGCACCAGGTCACAGCCCTGGTGTTGGCCACTCGATCAAGACCTAAGAAGTTTGAATTTTATTAATCTTGATTAATTTCTCCCACTCTTTTTTTCTTTGCCTATATACATTGGTCCATTGACCAAAGGTTGTTCACTTTGGAGACCTAATGCGGTTTATGAGTCATGCTGTTTTCTCATATTGTAAATAGTAGATTGTAGTTTAGTCTCTTGATAATAGTTGTGTGTCTTCGTAATTTTATATTTTCATTGTTATCTTGCGGTTCAAAAATTTACAAGATGTTATTTAAGAGAAATAAAAAAAAATTATATTTTTGATACTATGGGCTTATGTGTAGAGAGATGATCTTTATTAGAATCATCTTTAATGGTTTCAAAATTTGCGTTAATGAAAAAAAATATAAAGGATTTTCAGCTACATATACTTTATTCCCTCCGATATTTTTTGGTCTTGACGTGTACAACTAGTGTTAGAATTAGGCACTTAGTTAGGCTAATAAAGTGAAACTTTAGAACGTAAATTTCATTTAGTTAACTGTGTTACAAATTGTAAGTACTAAATAGATATTTGTTTTATCATTTATTAATTAATTAATAAGAAAGTATATTGCTTACATCATTCCCTTGGATTATGATAAATGGTAAGAAAATATCTTGCATACATCAACATCCACAAAAAGAAAAAAGTTAATAAAAAAATCTGAAGTTACACAGCTCAAAATGATTGATTGTGTGCAAATAATCTATGATAGGATCCACAAAAGGAAGGGCGTGTATCAAAAGCATATAAAATATCTAACTCGAGTAAAAACATTATATCTAATAAAATTCTTAAAGATTACGAGAAAATTATAAAATGAAACATAGAGAATCTATGAAATGCAGGCACCGTTCAGGACCGGTCCTAGTTGATAGAACAAAGGTCTAGTAGTAGTTTATGATTTATTGGCCTCTATTTTCTTATGTAAGCAAAAAATAATAAAATAAAAATAATTGAAATTTTAAGAATTTAGCTAAAAAAACAAACCAAAAAGACTATTGACAACAAAAAAGATTAGATGAAAATATTATTATTCCTAGATTCTCTTATATATTGGAGGATAACCGGCTTCACTTCGTTTATTTATATAGATTTATATGAGTGTATTTACATTTTCACTGACTGTATTTCACTACATAAAATTAATTCTGCACAAACATTTTTAAAAATGCCACAAAAAATAAAACATTCAAGAAAATGATCAAACGGTATTTTTTTGTATAAAATGTCTTCGGAGGTATCTTTCCTTCCTTCATTCGGAAATGAAATTTCAATTATGAGCTATAAAGAATATCATTTCAAGAAGAATTGACTGTCCGGCATTTGAAACAGATTGTACAGAGTTAGTTTCGATAGTGTAGTCTCCCAAAGAATGACACATTTTCTCCAATCTACTAAATGAATTTGGAATGTTCCGTGTCTTATTTCCATTTTTTTCGATTTCTTCTATTTCCGTTTATATAATTTTAAGACGAATTGTTTAGCTCGATATTCTAGATTATTATTTTTTAAAATTACATTTGTAAAATTTTTTCTTCAAGATTGGATAAACTATCATGAAGTTAACTTTTAATTAATATATGGTTGACAAAAAAAAAACATTGAAAAAGTGTTTTGCAGTCCTTAGAACCTATACAAACTCGTGTCATTTGATATAAAGTCAAATTAACAAAGAATATATATATATATATATATATATATTTATTTATTTATATGAAATTGTAATTCCAATATATGAATGTAGTCTAGATTCTCTTGTATCATTTTTTCACTATAGTGGTTTAGTTTAGACACGAAACACAAACACTGTTTTCGTAGATATTGATAAGAAGTTACGATTAATTCTTAAACGTGTAATGTAAACTTGATGACCAGAATATCTTTAAGATGTTTTATAATCTTGATTATTCAGTGACGTGAGGTTCGTATCCAAGAAATTGGTAAATGGACTATGTAGAATACTGTAGTGTTTTCTTACATCAAACTAATATTAAGTGTTTAATGTTTAGTAGCCTGAAAATATATTTATATTTTGTTTTTGAGTATTTAGATAGAGAATGTTTATTGTATATTTTGGGCCAATGTGCAGTTTAATTATATAATGTTTTCTAAAAAGATTATGATAAATGTCAGCAAAAAAGTTACCTCAGCGAAATGATAGTGGAATATAGACTTTTTGGTGCCGTGATGGATTGAGTAACGATTTCTAATATTTTTCAGAAATCGTACCTAAAATTAAAATCTGGTTCCTATCTATTTCCGTAGGATATATCATCAGATAGTACCAAAATGCAATTATTGCCATTTTTTCCCAGTAATCTTAGGTTTTCTTTACAAGTTAATCACTAAACTTCCCATCTTTAGTATTGACTAGTATTGTATGAGTTTATGACTCAAAAGATTTAGTATTGACTAGTCAGAAATATATCTGACCGATCTTACCAAAAAAAAAAAGAAATATATCTGACAGACAATGAAAAAATTAGGAATGATTTTTGTTTGGAAAAAAACATTACTGTAGTCTTGATGAAGATATCTTGTAACTCTTGACAAACAGAATATAACTAACTAAGGTTATGTTTGTTTGTTCATTTCAAATAAGCATTTAAATGATCCATCCAAATAATCTATATAGATATATAATCCATCTGGATGATGTTCGTTTCGATTTTTTGGTAGTTCATCTAAATGGAGATGCTTTTGGTTAAATTTTTGTTTGTTGGTTAATTATATTTTCATCTATAATAAACACAAATATAATAAGTATGTATGCTATAATAGCTCCCAATGGTAATAGTAGATCTTTTAAGTGACAAGAATACCAAATTTTTAACATGTCTCAGTGATTAATTGAATTTCAATTGAAAATGTTATAAACTTTGCCAGCTTACTATATAATACACAATTAATAGCATATGTTATCACATTTTACTATATAATAGACAGTGAAAAAAAAGTCTGAAATTTCATTAATTATAAAATTCTAACAAGAGGTCCTTCCTAAATTTCAGGAATGGTTTGATGGTAAAAAGTTTTTTTCTAATTACATAATGTTTTGGTCAAATTTGTTGACTATGGCCTAATGCAATTCTATATTATTTTGTTGTTTGGGCTCCAACTCCACATAGTATAAACTAAGGTTGGTTGGCTAACTAAATTCATTACCAACTTATCACGCAATAATAGCTGAAAAAACGCGTTTCAAATCTAATCAAAACAATTTAACATTACATAATCTGTTTCTTAAGTCAACCAAAACCAACCATATAATATTTAACCACTCATTTGATAAGGAAAACAAAAAAGAATAGCCTTAGATTAGAAGATTCTTACTAAAATTTATGTGGTACTGAGTGAAAGATCTTGTTTCAAGATCGTTTACATTATAACTCAAGTATAAACCTGTTTTCTCCATTGTTAATCTCTCTACTTAGCATTATAAACACTGAACGATTGTGAAAGCTACACAAAAGAGGGACTTATATATAAACAAGAAAGTGGTAAAAGTGTTTTCAGATCTCATTATCACCTTGGAATGTTACCGAGCAGTGTATTTGTAGAAGGTGAGCTCTGTGCACTTAACCAAGGATCTTGAACTGAGATAGGTGAGCTATCGCTAATCTCTTCAACGGAAGCGAGGTTATCCAGTTGTTTCTGAGGGATAATGACTCTTCTGCTTCCTGTTGATGATTGTTTAACTGATCGTTCGCTTCCTCGATCAGATGACCGGAGAGAACCGGCTGGTGAATCCAAGCTCATGTTTGGAATCCAACCGCTGAGTCGTATCTGTTCGAGCTCGTCTGCTACTTCAGTCATTGTCGGTCTCATGTCGCTGTGGAAGGCTAAGCATCGAAATGCGAGCTCAGCCACTGTGTGTATTGATGAGAGAGTCCATGCGTCGAGATCCAGGTCAAGAATGGGGTCTATAATCTCATCGATACAACCTGACCCAATTTTGTCAACAGCAAGAGCTGCTAGGTTGATTTCGGTATGTGGGCGTGTGAAATCAACGACTTTCAATCCCGTTATAATCTCGGCAAGGACGACTCCGAAACTGTAGACGTCGCTTTTATCAGAAAGATGGAAGCATTGATGGTACTGCGGGTCAAGATAGCCAGGAGTCCCTTGAGGAGCCGTTGATATGTGAGAAGATTCCGTCATTCCCAGTCTAGAGAGTCCGAAATCCGCAACTTTGGAGTTGAAATCATAATCAAGAAGGATATTGGTAGATTTGATGTCACGGTGATAGATCGGTGGGTTCATTGCAGAGTGGAGATACGCGATTGCTTTAGCTGTTTGAGTGGCAACAGTGAGGCGCAGTGACCATGGAAGACCGCTCCCTCTATCTCTTTGTAGATGTTCTGATAGAGTTCCATTCGGCATGTACTCATAAACGAGAACCGGATCACCTTGTTCTATACAGCATCCTAAGAGACGGACAAGATTCGGGTGACTCACAGAGGAAAGAAGCTTGATCTCATTCATGACTTGGTCAAGACTTTCAGAATCTCTGTGTCTGAGTCTTTTGATAGCAACCCATTCATCATTTTGGAGCTTTCCTCTATAGACCGTACCGTATGCGCCTACTCCTAGCTGCTGCTTTTCAGAGAAACCATCTGTTGCTTTCTCGATTTCCTTGTAAGGGAAAAAGGCGACACTTGAGTTCCCTGCAGCTTCAGACAAAAGCCGCTTTGCGCTTAAATGGCTTCTCAAAGGAGTAGACCGTCTCCGCTTACAATAGAACAAAAGAGCCAAGCCAGCTAGTAAAAACGCTCCACCAACAGTTCCTATATATAGCAAATAAATAAACCTAGTCAAAGATCCATAAAGAACAAAACTTAAAATGCCAAACAAACACTAAAGCGACCATTACCTCCTATAATAGTAACAAGATTAGATCTACAATGTCGCCAGACGAGCTTGGAACCACGGCATTCCGGTAGTGCTGCAAAGAGTATAGAGGAAACCAGTTAGCAAAAACAGCTTTGCGAATTTCGAAAACAAGAGAAGAGAACGTCCTCAATCACTCTAAAGAACTAATAATCTATATAGCAAAATGATACTATATTCTAAATGACAGATTACAACCGCTCACACCTCAATCCACGATTATTTTTAGTTCTTGGCCTTTAATACAAATGTTAAAACAAAGACTATAGATTGACTAACCTCTCTGGCAAGGGTTGATGTATCCGTCTCCATGGTAACCGTCAAGACATGAGCACCGGTGTCCTGCATATCCATGAGGAGTTTCAACGTCTGTACAATTGGTGTTAGCCGCGCAAGTTCCGCTCTCGCAACCTCCCTTTAGCCACCAACCTAACCTAACTCGCTCAAACTCTAGCGCTATACCCGCATTCACACCTACAGACTCGAAAGCTATCGACGAGAACAACAAACTACACGAGCTGTTCCTCAATTCCTTCATACTGAAAAACTTAGCTGAATTCCTCAAACTCGAATTACTATCTAAAGAAAAACAGCTTATGTTTCCCGAGGAATCGCAACTTTCCAGATTCAGCACATTCTCCAAGAACTTCTGCTTGATAGAGCATCCATCAGTTGTATTCACACAATCCTCCATTAGGAAACTATTCTCCGACGTCGGTGCGAAATGCTCGCTGAATAGCGGTCTCATATCTTCAATCTTCCGAGTACAATTGTGAGGGAGACCGACAAATATACCGTCTTCCGTCACGTTTTGGACGGAAAAGTCTCCGATCATCGGTTTCTCCACCGTAGAGCAATCAAATCGGATCAAACAACCGTTTGAAAATCCGAAAGGATAAGGCAGAGTCAATCCACCGCATCTTCCGTTACAAGGCTCGGTGAAATTAGCCGCCGAGGAAGAAACAGATCCTCCGATTACGATTATGATCACCAAAATCAAATTCAAGTTATGAGAAATCATCACCATCTTCGTTAAACGTTGATTGAAAATCGATCTCAATATTCATCACCTACCTGAAAACATAAAAAAACAACCATGGATCATTCAATTCTCCAGTGAAGCTAAAACCCTAAGACCTCGAGACAAGTTGGAATTAGTTGAGCTCCATTAAAAGCTCTCAAGCTCCCCAACGGTACACACCGAATAAATACACATAGAAACTAGAGAAAGAGAGAGAGAAAAACTGATTCCTCCATTAATGGCCGAAATTATAGACTCTAATTAGAGTTTAGAAAACTTAAACTAAAAAATCAAAATACCTTTGTTCTTCCTCTTCATCTTCTTAGATTCGATTTCAGTTAATTCGAGAACTGTGATTAGTTCGTGTTTGGTGATCTCCGGCGAAGAAGTTGATTGCTGATGATCGGAAAATCGAAACTCCGGTGGTTTTTTACCTAATTGCGAAATAATAATCAGAGTAATAAATTGGTTTGATTAAAGACGAAGAAGAAGAAGATACGTGCCCAGTGAATGTCTTATTATGCGTGGCAAGAGTTGAAATGACGGATATACCCTTATTATGGTCAACGAGCAATTGGGATATCTTTGACCGGGTTTGAGTTTTTTTTTTTCTTTATCTATTGATGATGCGTGTGTGAGTGGACAGCATAACAATTTGCTCAAAGTCGTTTTGTTTTTATTATTAAAAAAGAAAAAATTATTATTAGAATATACACTTTTATTGAATCGAATAATATTGTTTTCTTGGGTCAATAGGTCAACTAGAATAATGTTGATGCAAATTTAGGAAAATAATATGTCGATTGAAAACATTGGATCATTGATGTAATATAGTGTTGATCTTCAAAAATATCTTAATAAATTACTATTTGTGATTGTGATTATTCTCCTTTTTTGTGAGATGAAATTTGATTATATCCTATTATATACAAATTTAATCATATAACATATTGTTCTATGTTTTTTTACTACATTAATTCATTCCAGTAATTTGTATTTATTCTAAGAATCCAAATAGTAATATTTGTGAAAATAGATCTAATTTAATATAATGATGAGATCATTCAATTTAAAAAAGAAATATGGCACAACATTTAGAAATTATACTAAAGAAACTGAAGAAATAAAAAAAAGAAGTGTCCCTTGACAAAATGGTTAACGTTTCATCCATGTGGTCTTCCTACCGGAATTTGATTTCAGCAAGTTATGTTATTCGGCATAGTAAAATTTGGATTATGGATTGGATCATATCCGAAAAAAAAAAAAAAATTATCACTCGAACCATTACATTAGTAGATAAAAAAAATTATAATGCTAATGGTAGCACAATTTGAGATTAAAAAAAAATGAACTGAAAAAAGCTGTTCAATTATTTTTAAGATGAAAAAGTTGAAAAATTGTTTATTTACACATAATCATTTGCACCGTTAATATTGGTCGAACAATATAATTTTTTTGTTGAAACGTCGAACAATATCTTTAGTATATATTGGTGGTTACGTACAATAGTTGTTGAACCGCACAAACCATCATTTGTGTTATCTAACCAAATTTGGTCTTTTGTGCACCTTGTCCTAACAAAAATAAAACTACTTTTCAATAACCCGATATCAAATGGCTGGATCAAAATCTTTGAGCATTATCCAACTAGAGATTGATAAACTTGTTTTTACCTGTACACAAACATTCAATTACTTACAAGATTCTAATTTCACAATCTTCTCTTTGGTAAGCTCATCCCCATAATCCAAGTCAAGACAGATGAGATATATGAATCGATTTTTTTCTCATTTAACTAGTAACATATAGTTTTCTTGAATTATTTCTCAATATATCATTTCTAGAATCTAGAACTCTTTGGGTTGACATCCTAAAGCTTTTGATCCATTCTCTTTAATTTAACAAATGTTTTGCCTTGGTATTTATTATTTCAATCAAAGGTGTTTACAAAGACAAATAATTCGAAACCAAAAACAAAATACGGTAAAATACTCTAAAAATCAATGTAATGCATAAAAACAAACTATGAAAACGATTTTTAAATAATCTAAAAGGTAAAAACCATATACATCAATTATATTAAAAAAATATTCTTACAATTAACATTTTTTAAAAATACCAAGTGGTTATGGATCGAGTTTTTTTTTTAAAGTAAAAAAAAAACACTAACAAATAATTTTTCGGATCGAGTTCACTTGAAAAGAAAGGTATTTCCAATAGAAATGGTCTAAAGACCGACTCCGGACTCGCATAGATTAGGAAGTTCTAATCCGAATTTTGCGGTTATAAAAAAAAAAGAAATTCAAAAATAAAATATAGGTTTAGTGTGAACGTGTTATTCGTTGTTTCATGCAAAACCCGTTTATATGTCAGTTCGTTGGATGTCGACTCGAGTCATGGTCCGGTCACGAGCCTTGTTCGTTATCGACCTACTTGTTACTTGCCGTCTCAGCTGGGGTAACTCATTTTCTAAATGACATCAATGCCCCTATTACTTACATCCATTGACTTCTAATATTTCAAGAAGGATTTAGTTAATAAATACGTGCCTTACTATACACGTTCGTGCCTTACGGTAAGTCGGTAACATTTAATTTCGCTTTACAATTTTTTTTCTTCCATATATCTATCTACCATTTATATATAGGATTCACATACTATTATATATGTTTCATTTTGAAACTGGCAATACTCAAACTCAATTAGAAATGAATCACTATGGAATGTGACTTTGATGTTGATCATGACTTTGAAAGTGTGTACGTAACTCAACTCTAAAAATTACATTTAGCATGGAATTTAAACTCATATCTGTTTATTTAATTTATTAGCTTAATATCTCTAGAGATACAACTAAACGTTTGATCTATTATTAAATGTTATTTGTTACCAATTCATTGCGATCTAGTGGTCGAATGATTCAATATATGTCATTTGAAGAGACAATGTTTAAACCATGGTAACTGCGAACTCTTTAAACGATAAGAATACAAAACTTTGATATTTCCCGGTTATAAGACATCATAATTAATTTGTTGTGATATATAGTTTTGTCTTCAGCAATCACAACATTATTAAATTATCATATTTGAGTATGAAAAAGTCAGATAATTATCAATTAATCAGTTTTGTAGACCCAAGCTCAATGATTTTGTTTCTTTTCGTTACTTTATAAGAAATTTGGGGAATGATTATAATAATCGGCTTGAATTCCGCTGATGAGAGGAAAGACCCAAACTCAATGATTGAGACTGGAGATTTTGTTTTTGTCCCGATTGTACTTTTCAACACTTGATTTCTTCTCAATGTTCTCATGCGGAATTTTGGGGAAATTATCAATGTGCCAAGTTTTGGTTGTCTCTTCTTATTATAGCGTTACAACTTGTTTTTGACAAAGTGGGTTCGACCATTTCTTTGGTGGATTAATTTTATAGTGAATACGTTTTATCAGAATAAGTAGATTACAACATGATGGAATCGTCACCGCGAACATTATATAATATATGGTAGTATATTGAAACATAAAAACAAAATTCCGTCAAATGAAAAATGGAGATTGAAGTAGTTAGTTTAAAAAGTTTAAAATTTTACCTAAACATCCAATGTTCCACTTTGAGAATTAGAAAAATATCTAATCACACATGTATCTGTACCGAGCCGTGTAATGCCAAAAGCTAAATTTGGGTTTTGAGATTTAGAATTTGAGTAATGGACTTCCGACCCAAACATTTATTCTTTTGGCCCATAATTCGGATAGATGTTATGTCAACACAAATGTTTTCTCTCCTAATTGATTTTTAAAACCGTTGCGTTAATGATAGAATAAATTTGAAATCTGTAACGATGAACATTGATCATGGGATTAATGGTGGAAGATTTCTCCTCTACAAAGAAGGAATTAAGTGCCTTAACCTCCTCTCCAAGGCTGAGTAGACTACAAAAAGGAGTCTTGGGTCTCATTTCGACTCTTCCTTCATCTTTTCTAGTTTGCAAGCTTGAGAGTACAACGCAACATAAGTTTTCACCAGCTCTTGATTTCGAGTAGTGCGAGAAAAGAGAAACTGAAATAATTTTATCTTGAGAATCTTGAACATATGAAATTGGTACTTTAAAGCAACTAAGGAGGGAGATGATTATATCGACTTTACTTTACTTCAATCACTCTACGGTATTGAAGTCGTGTAGTTCATTCAGATTTCTCTCTAAGTTTTCTTTATAATATCAGATTGTGCCCATTGATTAAGTTGAGGATAGATTGACTTGTATTGATAATTAAACTTATAGTTCCAGTGTCCATCTAAATTTGGTGTAAGAATATGTGCAATAAAAATTGGTTTTCAGTCTCAGCAAAAATAGTTAACCCACTAGACTTACAACAATTTTTGTATACATAAAATTTTCCAAAACAAAATTTATGGACTAGGAAATGCGAGATTTAAATTCGCAAAAAGTAATTAACTGATTGTATTTTTTTTTTTTTGAAAAATGAAAATTTGATATAGTTTCTTAGTAAAATCATTTAATTTTTTTAATTTAGCAAATTGGTGCACCCCCTAAGAGGATACACTTTAATCATCTTTAGGTCAGCTTGCCCGTAGCTAATGGCCAATGGTTATCGGTTCGGTTCCATTCGGTTTCGGTTATTTCGGTTCTAAAATTTAGTATCCATTTGGGAATTTTGAAATTTCGGTTCGGTTCGGTTTCGGTTCCGGTTCTTTTGGTTTTAAAATTTAGTATCCATTCGGTTACTTTGCTTTGAAAATTTTCGGATATTTTGGTTATTTTTGGATATTTTTCGGTTATTTTCGATCATTTTTACTATTTTTATATATTTTTTAAGTATTTTTAATTATTTGGTCTATAAATAACTAGTATTTTTGATTATTTGGTCTATAAATAACTAATACTTTTCAAAAAAATAATTGTATTTCGAGTATTTCGGTTACCCGAAATATGTCGGTTACCCGAAATATGTCGGTTCGGTACCAATTCGGTTACGGTTCTTTCGGTTATAGAATTTAGTATCTATTCGGTTATTTTCAAATTTTTGGTTCGATTCGGTTCGTTTTTTTGCTTCGGTTTCGGTTCGGTATATTCGGTTCGGTTTATTTGCCTAGGCTTTGCCAACGGACAACTTCATGGGCCCATGAAAAAACTTTCGAGGTCATAGTCAATTTTATACACTAATGGACCTATATAAATCTCAAATTCAAAGATTACCAAAACCCAACAAATACACAAGCCCTGAAGCAAAACAAATCAATATTTTATTACCGTAAATTTCGGACCAAACAAGAGGAAAAAAGTGAAAGATCAGAGTGTTTTTACTGTTCATGGATCCCACGTGATCAGACAGCTCAAATTCCGATCTCGTAACGACGTCGAATAAGACAATTTCGGTTTTGTCCCTAATCCCATCTTAAACTGGGTCCCACGTTTTTTTCTTCCTCCCAAAAAGCAAACTTAAAAAAAAAAAAAAATTATCGGACAAGATTCCAGCTAGTGGTTCTTTCTTCTTCATCTTTTTCTCAATCACTTTCTTCTCCATTCTCCTTTTTTTTCTTTGTTCTCTCTCTCCCACTTGTGAAGAAGCTCAACAAGAACCCTAAAAAATGATTCTTCTTTGATTTTGTGTTTCTTGTTTAGTGTAACAGTGTTTTGTTTGCTTAGTTTTGAAGCAAAAGCTAGGGTTTTTTTCTCTTCTTGAAAATGCCATTGAAGAAGATGACCAAAGAAGATGATTGTTGTTTATTCGCTGAAGAATACGATGGTCCTCCATTATCATACAATATTCCTTGTGCTGTTCCGATTAACGTTGAGAAAATCCCCGTCGCCGCCGTTGTTTCTCCGGTTTGTATTTCTGATAACATGTCTTTCCCTGTGATTCAACCGATTTTAGCTGTGGAGAGTAGTAAGAAGTTTCTGAGAGATTCGGTTTCTCCTACTTCTGTTATTGCTAATTGTGGATCTAATGAGCTTGAATTGGTTTCTGATTCAATCACTGTTTCGCCTACTTCGGTTATTGAGCATACGGAGGAAGAAGAAGGTGGTGATGGTGAGGATTGTGGAATAAGTAGCTCTGGAGAGTTATTGTTGAGGTCTTGTTCTGTTAGTTTTGATCAATCTAGGGTTAGTTGTTCAGTGAAAGAGAGCTTAGATTTGAATGAATCGTCGAACCCGTTAGTACCGGATTGGGAATCGAATGAGTCGGTTTTGAGTATGGATTATCCGTCTTCTCGGGTTACTGGCGATTGTGTTAGTGAAAGTAATGGAGATGGTAAGAAGCAACCAGTTGTTACTTTCTTAGGTATTGCTTCTGATGATGGATTTGAGGAGGAGGAGAGTTGTAACCAGAAGCGGGTTCGGGTTGTACCGGTTAAGAAACAGCCTCAGACGAAAGGTAAAAAGGGGTCTTGTTATCGGTGTTTTAAAGGAAGTCGGTTTACGGAGAAGGAAGTGTGTCTTGTTTGTGATGCTAAGTATTGTAGCAGCTGTGTGCTTCGAGCTATGGGTTCTATGCCTGAAGGAAGGAAATGTGTTACTTGTATTGGGTTTCCGATTGATGAATCGAAGCGAGGGAATTTAGGGAAATGCTCAAGGATGCTTAAGAGGCTGCTTAATGATTTGGAGGTTAAACAGATTATGAAGACTGAGAGGTTTTGTGAAGCTAATCAATTACCGGCCGAGTATGTGTATGTTAATGGACAACCTCTCTACCCTGAAGAGCTGGTTACACTTCAGACTTGCTCTAATCCTCCGAAGAAGCTGAAACCGGGGGACTATTGGTATGATAAAGTGTCTGGACTTTGGGGAAAGGTGAATAATATTTACTGTCCTTTTGAGATATCTGTCTTAGTTTTCTAGTGTGTCGAGACTGTTTATATATATTTTGTTGGGGTTCCACAGGAAGGAGAGAAGCCTTATCAGATTATTAGTCCTCATCTGAATGTTGGTGGTCCTATTAGTCCAGAAGCTAGCAACGGAAACACTCAAGTTTTCATAAACGGACGCGAGATTACAAAAGTGGAGCTACGAATGCTGCAGGTTGGAATCTTTTTGAAGTATGCAATTCTTGATTTAAAGAGAGCATTTGATGTCATTGATGATTTAAGTTTGTTTTTTTTATCGTCATGAATTGCAGTTGGCAGGAGTTCAATGTGCGGGTAACCCTCATTTTTGGGTTAACGAAGATGGATCGTATCAAGAAGAAGGACAGAAGAATACCAAAGGATACATATGGGGCAAGGTTCATTGTTTTGCCTGGAATCTATATTCCGTTTAATTTTCAATTGAGATTTCCTCTGTGACTGAAAATTACAAACTTATGCTGCTTTCAGGCTGGGACCAAGTTACTATGTGCTGTATTGTCACTTCCTGTACCATCAAAATCTACCGCGAATGCTTCTGGGGAACAACTCTTTAGCGCAAATAGTAGAAGCATTCTGGACCATCTTGAGCATAGGACTTTACAAAAAATCCTTTTGGTTGGAAACAGAGGTTCTGGAACTAGTACCATATTCAAGCAGGTATGAGCTTCTCCATATAAATAAATCTTACCCATTCATTAGTGGTTATGAGATCTGTTTGGTATATATTGTACTGCTTATAAGTGTAATCCCCAAAATCTATAACACAACTGAATCATTTTGTCGTTCAGGCAAAGATCCTTTATAAGGATGTGCCATTCTTGGAAGATGAGCGTGAAAATATAAAGGTGATAATCCAGACCAATGTGTATGGTTATCTCGGTATGCTTCTTGAGGGCCGGGAGCGGTTTGAAGAAGAAGCTCTTGCTGTCAGGAATACGAAGCAGTGTGTCATTGAAGATATTCCTGCAGATGAAGGTGCATAGATTTCCGGCTCCTACTTATTCTTGAGTTTCAGTGTTTAAACATCATTCCCAATCAGGCTTTTATTTAGTACTAGGGCCTGAAATTTGTTTCTGGACGAGAGTAATCATGAGTTTATATATGTGTAACCCATTTGAGTCTTAACTTGATTTATGTGTATGAGCAGAAGATGCTATAAGCAACAAGAAAACCATGTACTCCATTGGCCCAAGGCTTAAAGCATTTTCTGATTGGCTATTAAAGACTATGGCTGCTGGAAATCTTGGGGTCATTTTCCCTGCAGCTTCTCGTGAGTATGCGCCACTGGTTGAGGAGTTATGGAAAGATGCAGCAATCCAAGCTACATACAAGCGAAGAAGTGAGCTAGGTCTCCTTCCGAGTGTTGCTAGTTACTTCTTGGAACGGGTAAATAAGTGCTTCACTATCTCTTGTGCTCTCAATTTTCCATTGCATTGTTCGTTAATCGATACAGTAAGTTATTAATCTTGAAGCTGCTTTTCCGTTCTTCAGGCTATTGACGTGTTGACACCAGATTACGAGCCATCGGATTTGGATATATTATATGCAGAAGGAGTCACTTCGTCCAGTGGTCTAGCATGTCTCGATTTCTCATTTCCACAGACTGCATCCGAAGAGAATCTTGATCCTTCCGATCACCATGATTCCTTGCTCAGGTAAGTTCTGATTCCCCTTTTTGTTTTATATTATTTAAGTCAGTTCGAAAACAATTGAAGACGTTTCTTGTGTGCTTTCAGGTACCAGTTAATTAGAGTACCCTCGAGAGGCCTCGGGGAAAACTGCAAGTGGATAGATATGTTTGAAGACGTCGGGATGGTTGTGTTTGTTGTTTCCATGAGTGACTATGACCAGGTTTCAGAAGATGGAACCAACAAGATGTTACTCACAAAGAAACTCTTTGAAAGCATTATCACTCATCCCATCTTTGAGAACATGGACTTCCTCTTAATACTCAACAAGTACGATCTCTTGGAAGAAAAAGTAGAACGTGTTCCTCTGTCACGCTGCGAGTGGTTCCAAGACTTCAATCCTGTGGTCAGTCGTCACCGTGGTTCCAACAACGGTAACCCCACTTTGGGTCAGCTCGCCTTCCACTTCATGGCGGTTAAGTTCAAGCGGTTTTACTCTTCCTTGACCGGGAAAAAGCTGTTTGTTTCTTCAAGCAAGAGTTTAGACCCAAACAGTGTCGATTCGTCGCTCAAGTTAGCTATGGAGATTCTGAAATGGAGCGAGGAGAGAACAAACATCTGCTTGAGTGAATACTCAATGTACAGCACTGAGCCAAGTTCCTTCTCAAATTGATTGATGTTTTCTAATGTAAATTGTAACAACTTTCTTGTGTATAGATTTGCCACGTAGAGTTTTAACAAAGTACTTACGCATCAATTTACAAACCATCTCTGTGTACTAAACAACAATTAACTTATCATTCTCTTTTATGTTACAATTGGGTTTTGTCGAAAGTATATCTAACTTGCTCTTCTGCACTCAACAAGACATTCTTCACAATCCATCCTTGTTCTTGCATTTGCCTGTTCAGTGTGATAACATCATCTCGTGCAGCTCGCTTACTCTCCCCTGTGAGTAAGGACCAATCTTGTAGCGTCAAGTCTGAGAATGATACGTCGCTTCTCTTGATTCGATTGGTTCCAAAGGCTTTACGTATGTAACATGTCTGACAAACCAACCACAAAGTGTTAACAGTAGAAACTATCATGAACTTTTACTAAATTGATTATATTTAGTTGAATCTTTACCTGCAACAAACTCATGATAATGTCTACACTATTGGCTCCTTCACGCAGACAAATAACGATGCCTGGCTAAATATTTTACAAGTGGCGAGGATCAAACCAGAGAATTGAAGGGATATGAGTACATATAAGTTAAGCATATATGCAACTCACTTTTGGTGTTCTTCTGAAACCTTGAGAGGAAAGTTCAATGGTTATGAAGAAACTATCATCATTGCACAGTGATTGCATCGCCAACATCGATAGTGTAGGAATCTGAGCCTTAGGATCTAAGCATCCGATTCTAATGGGCCAAACCCTTTTGCTACCTACAAAGAACATATGAAGGATCCAGCTTATTAACAATGTCCGAAAAGTGAATACCGTTAAGAGCCTGAAGAGGTTTTTTGTTTTTCACCTCTGCTCCCTAAAAGGTCAATTCCTTCCTCTTCACTCACTTCGGCAGGGGAAGGTACTTGCCTGAATTCAATCCATCTTTCCAGTATTATTTCAAGCCTATCCTGATAAGAAAAAGATAAATTGAACTTATAACACAGTAGTCTCCATTGTTTGGGTCTCGTTACTGAGATAACAAAAAGCTACCTTGGTTAAAGTTTGCAGATTGATATGCTTGAGCCCTTGATAAATGCCAAGGAGATCAAACATGGAGAAAATCGGATATAGAACAAAAGGTAGACTTGCCTGCAGTCTAGCACATTAGCAAGTCAGAAAATTCAGCAACGAATCTCGCAAATAAAGTAACTAAACAGTACTAGAATCATCTAACCTTTGGTTGTTTTGGAATAGCATATTTAGAAGCACCGCCAGTAAGAGACCAAGATTATCAAAACACACAGTTTGAATCTGGAAATTCACGAATAAAATCAATGCATGTATATGGGATACAAACGATAGAAAACTCTGAGTAGGTTTCTGAAAAAAACCTGTGCCTTTGCAGAGACTTCACCGAGGTTATCCGCTACAGCAAAGCTTCGATGTACAGCTGACTGCAGAATGTCAAAACATTGGCTGTCAAACCAAAACACCAAACATAAAACACTTAAGTCACAAGGAAAAATAACGAACAGGAAACCTTACACCGGTTGCTAAGTAGCACGACAGACTAATCTGTTTAGCGATGTTAGCGATGGAAGCTAGCAAAAGGAAGTACTGTGGGAATACTGGAGTCATTAACTCAACTCCAATGCTTAGACTGAAGAGTACAGACGTCGAAAACCTAACTCTCTTGATTTAGCAAAAGAGTATAAGTAACAAAAACTCTCCACAGTTTCAAGAACTACAATATAATGAAGTAAATTACCTTCAAATTAGTGTCAAAAGCAGAAGCAAGACTAGCAGTGTATATACATCTACTTAATCTTCCAAGTCCATCTTTCAAAATCCAATTAAAAGCAGCAGATGAAGCAAGTGACCGAGATTGTCCAATTCCTATCGCTCTAAACATCGCCTGAAGCAACAAAAAAACAACTCAAAAATGTGTAACAAAAGTCCAATTTCAAGTCTAGTATTATACCTGAGTGGCAAGAACTTGTAAAGCAGAGCTGAAAACTCTGTGCAAAAACTTCCATTTGACATAGCTTATGTAATTGTCACTGACTTGTTTCGGTAAAAAGAAGTCTTTTGCAGCTGAAGATGAAAGTCTTATCAATTTCCAGAAACCATCGTCGAGGCCAAGGCAAAACGACGTCGAATCATCATCACCATCTTCTTCTTCATCAACACATAGCAACTCCAAGGAATCTCCTTTGATGAAGTACCTCGAAACTTTGCCAGACTTTTTGATTATGATAGGAAGACGACGGGTTACGTTACTGGGTACTACGAGTTCTTCTTTCGATACTTCTTCTTGCTCGTAATCAATGGAAGTTCTCAGAGACTTGACGAATTTTCTTGAAGAAAATTTGGGGAAATTGAAGATTGGATATTGGGTTGATGTTGATTTACATGGGTTTAGAAAAAGACGAGAGCTTGGATTCGATGAATGCATCAGAGTTCTTAGGGTTTTAGGGAAGGTTTTGCGTCGCCTTCTTCTTCTTCGTTGGTTCTGTGAGTGGGAACGATTCTAATGTATTGGGCTGGATATGGGCCTTCTACACTTTAGTTTACTATCTAATTTTGTTGAGGAATTTAATAATCAAGTTTTTTAGATATTTAGTTTTATTACAAGTGATTCCTATTAAACACTCAAGCTCTTTGTATCGGTGCTTATCGATCTGACCCGACTCCAAACGTATGATCTTATATCTTATAATAACAAAATACTCTGCATGCAGAATTCAATAGCCAACAAATATAGAAAGTAATAAATTTTTGTATAAAATAATGAGAACATTACTTAATTTGCACACAGAAGAATTGAGAAATAATTTTGCAAAATTGCAAAAGTTGAGGAATTTAATGATCATTTTCTTTTCTATATTTGAAAACTAAATGATCATTTTCCTACATCATAAAAATGATCATTTGTACATACTGATAAACTATTCTTTTTCGTCTATAAGTCCAACCATTATAAGTAAATTTCCTATGCAAACGACAATTATGTATGCAGAATCAAAATTGATGGTATTTTGTTATTAATGGTACCATTGCTTCTCTTCACTGGTCCTCAAACCTAGTTTTGTTCAGTTTCCAGGCGACAATACTCTTTTCATTAAGCAATCTGGTTCATCATTCATTGCTCTTCTTGTATATGTTGATGATATCAAGATTGCTTCCAATTGTGATGTTGAATTACAGGCACTAAAAGCTACCTTGCATACTGCTTACAAGATCAAAGATATGGGTATTAGAGCACTCATTAAAACCCAATTATTGTAATAGACATAGCCCATTAGCCCATGTTTTTAGAGAGAAGAAAATAGGTATCTTTGGAGTTGCCTATTGTGCAACTCTCTTCCCCAACTTATATGAAATATTGAAATCAATCCAAGAATCCATTTGAGATTTTGGTGACAAGATAAATTTCTCTTCCTCTTTGATATTTCTTGTACAATAAAGCTCAAATGGTTTACCAGAAATACATTATTATGCATAAGACACATGTTTGAAGATTGAACTTGATCATGCATGCATTAAAAAAATTCAAATGGTTTACCATTATCATGCATAAGAAAAAATATATAACCTCTTCCTCTCTTTAGGAAGCACATTTACTTTATGCAATAAAATTTTACAAAATTAACCAAGAAATATTAAATATTATGGAACCCCTTTAATCCATTAGTTTAACTAAAGGTTCATTAATGCTTCTACATCCGGAGGTCTGGGTTTCAAATCCCAGAGAATGCGATTTATTATGCAAATTAAATACGACAAGTTTACAGGAGATCTTCAACGTGGTGCAGGTAAAACCGTCAGATATGGATCTTCATAAAGCATGTTCAGGTGAAATCGGCAGGTTTGGGTCTTCATAAAGTAGGTTCAGGTGAAATCGGCAGCGTGGATCTTCATAAGATGGTATAATTGTCAGTTGTAAAATTCGTCAATGTAATATATCATTATTTAAAAACTTTTTAGTTGAGAAATTAGGAAACCATACATAGTCCAATAGAACTAGATTGTAACAGTAAAATGCAGGAAAGTACAATCTTGAATAATTAGGAGTTCCAACTACATAATAGATAATAGCTAAGTAGATTAGCAGATAAGTTGAACTGGCTTCATCGTAGAGGCTGCTCCATCTCCATCTCCATCTTCGGTTCTTGGCTTCTCCGAAGCAGTGAATGGTGTACAGTAATCTGGATACATCGGAAACCATTCCCAATCGCTGATGATGGTTACCCCTTAAATCTACAAGTTCCTCAAGCACCCCTATCTTCAGACCTGCTTTGCTCCGTACAACTACTATCACATTGATGTTGTTTTTCCTAAGAGCTCTACACTCATTCAAAACTTTAAAGTCACCCGAGATCAACACAGCGGTAGTACCCATATTCTGATGCGGAATCCACGATGCTAATTGGGCTACGATTTCCTCATCAGCTATGTCCTTTTCATCTTTTCGGTACACTCTCCCCGGACTCGGATTCTCCATGCAATCTGTGTATTTAATGCCAGAATCCGGGTTGGCAAGAATGGCCCACTTGGCCCGTGTTTTCTTGGGGAATTTATCCGAAGTTGATGATTCAACTACCACGGATATTTCCATTTCCGCTGCCCGTTGATATCCAAGCCTGAGAAAAGTAGCATGCAAGGTGTGGAGAACGTCTTCAGTGTTCAGCCATCTTGGAATAGGCACGTTCTCAATGTCCCACCACGCAAACAATGGACCCCGTGCAATTTTCCTACAAAAAACTCAAATGTAAAAGGAATTAAAAGGCATGTTCTAGGGGTTTAACATAAGATTCCATGGAAGATATGAGGTTCTTTGAGTTTTCCAACCTTAAGATGATCCAGATCTTTGAAAATCAATTCCTCAATATTAAGCTTTTTTATGTTATTTAGGATATTAAATCAAAAAAAAAAAATTATGTTGAGACTTATATCTATATTTAAGGGTATTATATATATATATATACTAGATAATTTTAAAAAAATACTAAAATCAAATTTAACAAAAGATGAATTAACAACGTTGTAAGTAGAAATTTTTTTACAAAAATAAAAAATATTTACATTTTCATTGTTGCATTGTTTCTTTAACCACTAAAATTATTAATTCAAAATTATTTCGAATGAAAGATATATCACATAGCAATAACTCATGGTATACTATATAAAGTTAGCTAATGAAAACAAAGTGGTTTTTAATTAGACACATTAAAAATATAAATATGATAGATCGACTAAATCTCTTAGCCTTCCAAGCTAACGTTGCGGGTTCGATTCCTATATACTCGATTGCAGTGACTTTATGTTCCATCAATAAAAATTAATAAATTCAAAAAATTATAAGCACGATGATATATAAATCTTATATAATTCAAATATGAACATAGAAATTTAAATAAACAATTTTGAAATAGTATAATTAAATTCAAAAAAGAAGCATATAAGTTCTTACATATTCAAGAATTTCAAATAAACAATATAAAACTTTACTTAAAATCATCATATATTTCTAATTAGAAAATAAAATTGATATAAATAATGTAAATTTGTAATTTAAATCATGACACTGTCGCTATCTAAAATCATTAGAATTATGATATATTATAAAGGGAGACTCACAAAAATGCCCCTTTTTCAATACCCCTTTTCAAAAATGCCCCCTTTGGCTGTCCATTTTTAAAAATACCCCTTTTTATGTACAAAATGACTAAATTACCCTTCTTTTAATAAAATATATCACAAATATATAAGGAAATATAACAAAATTAGGTCTACAAAATACAAAATATTTTTTGGCGGGAAAATTGATCCCGCAATTTAGCCCGCCAAAACACTTGTAAAACCTTGTAAAAAACCTTTAAAATACCTTGTAAAATTTTCCCGTAAAATTTTTCCCGCCAAAAAATTTTTTTTGCGGGAAAAGTGATTCCGCAATTTTTTTGGCGTTAAATTTTTGGCGGGAAAATTTTTCCCGCAAAAAATTTACAAGGTATTTTAAAGGTTTTTTACAAGGTATTTATAAGGTTTTACAATGTATTTTAAAAGGTTTTACAACGTATTTACAAGATATTATAAGATTTTACAAGCTATTTTATAAGGTTTTTACAAGTTATAAGGTTTTACAAGTTTTTTATAAGGTTTTACAAGTTATAAATACCTTATAAAACCTAATAAGTACCTTGTAAAACCTTTTAAAATACATTGTAAAACCTTACAAAACACTTGTAAAAAACCTTTAAAATACCTTGTAAATTTTTCCCGCCAAAAATTTTCCCGCCAAAAAAAAAATTGCGGAATCACTTTTCCCGCAAAAAACATTTTTTGGCGGGAAAATTTTTTGGCGGGAAAAATTTTACGGGAAAATTTTACAAGGTATTTTAAAGGTTTTTTACAAGTGTTTTGGCGGGAAAATTGCGGGATCACTTTTCCCGCCAAAAAATATTTTGTATTTTGTGGACCTAATTTTGTTTCAAATAAGGGTAAAATGGTCATTAAAAATTAAAAGAGGGCAAACTTAAAAATGGACTCTCAAAGGGGGCATTTTTGAAAAGGGGTATTGAAAAAGGGGCATTTTTAACAATTTCTCTATTATAAATCTTATATAATTTAAACTGAACGTAGAAACCAAAATAAATAATTTAAAGATACAACAATTAAACGATGATATATGAATCTTTGATAATTTAAATATGAAAAGAGAAATTGAAATAAACAATCTAAGAATACTACAATCATAATTGAGGACAAACAAAAAACAAAGTTAAGTAAAAAAAATATTACATAAAGGAAAAAAATTGATCTCTCATATTTCTAATTGAAAAAATAAACTCAAATAAATAATATGAGGATTAGTTTAAATAAATCATCATATATTTCTAATTGGAAAGAAATTTGAGATAAATAATATCAAATTTTAAATTAAATCATGATACATTGATAAAATCTTTGATTGATACGGTTCATATACTATTAATTACTAACTTTGAGAAACAAAAATAGAACATATTAGTTTTATAATAACATATGTTTCATTTTTAATAAATTTGCTTGATTTTTTTCTTGTTTAATTAAAATATATATTTCTAATTATAAAAAACGTATGATTTCCTTATTATTATCTTTTGATATTTTTTAAATTGTTTATAGGAATATTCATTATTTACAAGTATCTTTATAATTATATTTTATATTTTTAAAATTATTTAAATTTATAATTACTTACAATTATCTTTTTTTATTATTTTAAAAAGGAAATTTTGTTTTACACGTGTCAAAATCTAAGATCGATAGATTTGCCACGTGTCACAATCCTATGAGTTATTAACTTTGAAAACCATACTTTATATAATAAGATATATATATATATATATATATGTATGTATATGTTTTATTGAAGTACCCATGCCGTACCCGTATCTATGAATTTTTATTTTGCCGTTTTCAGTCCCCGTTTCCGTACCCGTTTCTAGTTCCCGTACCCGTTTCGGTGCTACTTAGACTGTTGGAGAGGAGGAGGGAAAGGTTCAGGGCGTGGATTCGGCGGAGGTGGACGATTCCGCGGTTGATTCCTCAAGGTCTTCCTCTTCTGTGGAAACATCTGAGAATCAAATAACCCTAAGGTGAAATCTCTTCCTGTTTCCAACAAGATAGAAAGAAATCTCTTAATCATGAATGATTCAATTGAGCTCTTAACACCAAAGAAAACCAGAAACATCAAGACCAGCTATGCAATTCCAATGAACAAAACACAAAGCCATATACTTTCGAGAAATCTTAAAGTCTCATCACTTATACAATTTAGTCTATCACACAAGACAAATTTCATAACAATTGTAGTGTTCGATTCGAAGGTGAAAGCAAAACTCAATATAAACGCAATCACAAAACGATTACTATAAGCCTCATACCCACGAAAACTGAATTCTCTATTTTTTCATATTGTAATAAGTTTTATTATCCATTCTTAAATTAACTAATTAGATTTAAATTAAGAATGTTAGTAACATTAGATGTAGACTTCGTCTTTTCAAAAATTTTTATATTCTTTTATGATTTTTCAAAACAAAAAAAAAAGATAAAAACAAGCTTTACTGCAAAGCTTTCATCTCTTCCTTGAACTTAACCATTGCAATTCTTGGCAATGTAACCACAATCTGAACCCCTCCGACCATATCCGGTTCCAACCTAGATGGTCGCATGAACATATTAACCGTCCTAGCTGTCTCCGATGGAACCACCGGGACGATATTCACCGGCTCATTCCACCCGAAATCCATCGATCCAAAGATCCCGATATTCCTCCAATCCGTCAAACAAAACAACCCATCTTTTTTTCCTTTGATCTTTAAATTCATCTTAATGATTTTTTCAGTGTTTGCAAGCTCTTCTTGGAGATAATCTTTATCGTGACCCTTCCTCTTTGCTTCTTTTATGAGCTTTACGATATCTGAGATCGTAAATTCTTCCACTTCTCTTGCGGTTAATGGCACATACATATCAATGTATGCATTACCGTAGTACCCATCGGGCAAAGGGGGATCCACAACGTTGCGGATTCCTACTGATAAGCCCAAAACAGTGACTCCATCTCGATCCAAATTAAGAGCTTTAACTCGAGACTTCCACAAATAAGCTCCTATAACTTCGAAAGTAGTGATTGTCTCATTAGAGAAGTCGTACTCTTTCAATGTAGCTTCTTTCAATCTTCTTATGCTATCTGCTCTAATATTTATTTTTTCAGTTACCTAGTTACATTTATAAACATGGATATAGAGTTAAAAATATTGTTTTAGATTAATATATATAGTATGTGAGGATCTTGTTTTGTGCACACATACCCAATCATCCGTTGGTAAGTAGGGCGAAGCAGCCGTGTCGTCGCCGGGAACAAGTGGAGGTTGATCATCTTCAGGCTTCCCCACAAGTCTTTCTCTTTCCCAAACCGGCGTCACCATCGGCTTCTTTTCCCCGCCAACCAACTCCGTCAAGGCACACATAATATGACCTTCTCCATATCCATCGCACATTGCATGTGACATTGCCATCCCTAAGATAAATCCTCCACATTCAAATTTGGTTACCTGTCATTATCAAACTGGTCATTTTTTCATGGAGGGAAATATCAATACATCTAAAATTGTTGTAAGAAAAGTTTACATGTGCATCAATTAATTACATGCTTAAATTTTATATCATTTTAGAGTTTCTGTTAAAGAAAAGAACAAGCCGAGTTTACCCTACAATTATATTCAAATCAGGCCGCAATGTAAAATTTATACGCAAAATTATTTAGACAAGACCAAATTAAACTAAAATTTTATACAGAATTTGTAGATCTTAAGCGGGTCATGCATGGCCGGTTTGATTAACATATCTATTTTAGCATATAATTTAAATCTATTCAATTTTTCTATATCCGAAAAAAACGAATCAGAAGTCGAACAAGACAAAAAAATTCTTCTTAAAACCTAATTATCTTTTTAAATTAAGGAAAAAATGTGATTAAAAACCAAATCCGAGGCGAAACCAAAATCGTACCAAATCATCTATAGTAGCTTAGATTTTATATTGAAACTCTAATTTATAAACACAAAATAGATATGAATCAAATCAAACTGAAATCTGGATTGAACACACGTAAAAAACATGAATGGTTTGGTTTGTGTACCTGCAAAGCAAAAGGTCGATAACCATCAGTATCCACGTGAAGCTCAGGCAAGAACTTCAAGGCCGTATCTGAGTCAACATTCTCTAGATTCTTCAAAGAAGAGAGCTTTACATTTGCAGTAGCTACCGTGAACGGCACACCGCCTCCATCGTCGCCACAACTCAGTTGAAGCTTCCGGTCACTCTCCTGCCGCTTCAAACTCCCCGAAAGCGGATAGTAATACACAAGAAGATCGGACAAAGCCTCCCTAAGCAAAAGTTCAGGCCGGTTATCATCATCAACAACGTTCTTGGCTTTGAAAACATAACATGCCTTGTAAATAACTTCGTTGTAAGGATCATTGTCAAGTGATGAAAGGGAAAGAGTTTGTTGAGGAATATGTTTTGAGGGTTTCACAATTTCGGTGAGCTTCTTCTCGACCATTAATGGGATCGACGAGCCTATTTGAATTGACATGTTCTAATTTCTATGTGTGAGAAATATAAGTGTATAACTCTAAGAACACTCTTGTCTTTTATAGATAAAGTTTTGGTATCATACTTGCCACGTTACCCTTAAACATTGTAACAAGTAACAAATGGCACTTTTATTTATATTCTAAGTAATCCTTATTGTCCGCACGGCCAATAAATGAAGAAAATGGAAACGGTTTGACATTTTAGTTTCAATAAGTGTCGTTTTGAAACTAAACAATGCTAAGTTATCATTGTTGTCAGCACGGCCAATGAATTTTCATTATTATTTGAAAAGATAAAAGCAAACGTACGTAATTTTTATCATGTTCAAATATTTGGTTTTACGATAACTGATATTATGTGGTAGCCACGGTTTTTTTGTATACCATATTTTTTAATAGTTTTAAAGTATGATCTTAATTCCTAAATCATCACCATTTCATTTCGACTAGCCAAATAGATGAATAATTTAAATAATTACACGTTCAAATTTTTTTTTTTTGACCTATTTAGACTTACATGCCAACTCTATCTCAAATGATGAGAACCACTAGACTACTATAACTTGGTAAGAAAATAAATGACATGACATTTGATTTGTAACGCTTTGACAGAAAAAAGAAAATACTATATAAAAAGAAAACTAGAGACAAACGTAATAATATCGTATTGTGAAGACATCAAGCGTTTCTTCCAAAGTGCAAGACATATTCTACAAATGTATGCGAAGTTCCAACCATGCAAAATTGGATATTATAAACATATAACTCTTTTAAACAACATATCAGATCGATCATCGATGACAGTATAATTTGTTGAAGGTTTCGATCTCAAATTCCCAATGCTCACAATCAGAATTAAAAAATAGTATGAGCGGGCGGAGAAACAATAGTGTGAGTAGGCGAAGAAATAGAAAATAGTAATCTTATAAAAATGTAAGATCTTAATTAATTAACTTGGTTTATGCGTCACATATTTATCAAATGCTAAACGATAGTGTTCTCGGAATTACAAGCGACAACAAGAACATATGTGTGACATATGGCGCAAAAAGACATAATATAGTATAATAATGTTATATCTAACATAAGTATAGTGGTATCCTTGTGAAAAACACTTGGGAGGTCCTTGATTCAAGTCTTTGCGGTAGGAACATTATTTCTAACGCAACTATGATGGTTAGATTTAGGATGAAAACCTAGATCTTAAGGCGTAAATTCGCACATATTTGGGTTCGATTTCCGTCGGAAATTGGAGTGCTATTTATGGATTAGCTAGAAAATTATTTGGATGATGCGGGCGGGATCTGAACCTTCAGGTCTCAATGTTTAACTTGATATATAGGTGCCTACCAAATTTGCATACCTGAAAAGTTAATCAGAATCGCTTGGATTACCCACAAAAAATAGTCCATAAGTAATACTTACTCGTATTCAAAGTTCCAAAATTCCAATGAGTTTTAGGGTTTAGGGTTGGTTTTACTTGAGGTTTAATTAATACTAGGGAGCCTGAGGAACTACTAGCTTGGGTTTCTATTGTATTGGGCTGGACATTGGCCTTATAAGCTTTGTACGTTCCCTGTCCAATTGTTCAATCATATTGACATGGCTTGATCTTAAGACTTTTCTTCTGCTGGTAACTTTGTTTTGACTCTCCTGATAAAATTTCATCATTAAAAATCTAAATTTTGACAGAAAGATGTTCAAATTTGCATATTTATATTTCAACTAATTATGTGTAAATATGAAGTAAACAAGGATTTCAACAACATTTAGATGTACTCATCTTAGAAAGATTTAATTTCCACATACAAAAGAAAAACTAAATAAGCTTTTAGTTTAGAGCATTTATATCTTCCTTGAACTTAATCATAATTTGAACCCCTCCAGCCATCGATGGTTCCAATCTCGAGGGTCGCATGAACATACCAATTGTCCTAGCAGTTTCCGGTTGGACCACCGGGACGATATTCACCGACTCATTCCACCCGAAATCCATCGATCCGAAAATCCGAATATTCCTCAAATCCGTCAAGAAGATAAATCTTTATCTCGAGCCTTTATCTTCACTTCTTTTATGAGTTACACGATGTCTGAGATCGTAAATTCTTCCACTTCTCTTGTGGTTAATGGTACATATATTTCAATATATGCATTACCATAGTGTCCGTCGGGCAAAGGTGGATCCACGACGTTTCAAGTTCCTACAGATAGAAAGCCATTTTTAAAAGGGTTTAAGGTCTCAAACATTTCACTTGCTTGGTGTCAAACACAATTTTTACGAGTTATTTTGAACTAGCGAGGTTCAGTGTGAGAGAAAATATGCTAAACTGTGTTCCCTTCTCCAAAAGTGGAATATTTGGCCAAAACATGTTCTGCTTTCCAGTTTCCAAGAATTGTCCTCCTATCTCATATTCCTAAAAACTGAAACAGAGCAATACGAAAAAACTATATTTAGCAAATCTTAATTCACAGTTTTACTTTTTACCCTCCTTCCATTTCCAGAAGCCTCTAGAATGTTAGCGGGTTTCAAAAAGTTTTCAAAGAATCAATCACGTCTCTGAATCTTCTGCTTCTTCTTCAATTACAGTTGGGAGCGATCCTTCTCTGCTGAAACCGGGGTTTAAGAACTTGGCGACAAAAGCCCATAGCTTATAAACATCCTCAAAGTTTGTCAAAAAGCTGAGGGAAGCTGTGACAACCTCAAACCGCACAAACCCATTTTTTCCACCGCGTTTACCAGCTTCTCTCTGCAGATGCAAAGAACTATCTTCCTTGATCCTAGCGCCCCCACGGTGGTTTCTCGGAAGATCCATTATGCGTATGTGACTCAAGATACCAATACCAAGAGATACACCTTCTCTCTCAGCCAGTTTCAGAACAACTTCTGGACTTACAAACCCTTTGCTTTTGTCTTTTACGTTGAAAGCAACCGCTGCTCCTCTTTCGTACTTTATCTTTGGGCCATAAATCTGCACAAGATTCATGTATCTGCTGCTACCGTCATTGCCTGGTTCAGGCACTTTCAGCTGTAGCAAAGAGATCACAAGCCAGTTAATCAGAAATCTGAGCCTACTTGTGGTTTTATTAAGACCTAACATATTCACATGATCGATATGGCTGCAAACAATCTCGGGCTCCCTTCTGTCCCAATCATCCTCATTCGGGTTTTCACCATCACTTTCGTCATATACACTGGCCATAGAAGCTTCACCTTGGTCCAGACTATGACTGACACGGTCCATGTTAAATGAAACCCGTGTTCCTCTGCTTGGTTGTTCATCTTCCACACCCAAAAGCCTCCCACCAGTACCCCTTCTTCCCAATAACCTAAACTCACCTTCTGTTTCTCGTCTAATTGCGTTATCTTTCATATCTGAAGAAATCTTGGAGCTTGAGCCATTTGATCCAAAACCAGATCCTGCGCGATATACAATGTTACCGCAGTTTTCTTCCTGTATCTCTTGAACTTGGAGATTATTAGAGTTCCTCAGATTCCGTGATGGTGTTGAGTTTGTCTCCTGAGTAACTGACATAACTGCAGCATCAAACGAGAGGACATCTTTACCATCATACATAGGACTGCTGTAACTCTTTGCTACCGGTTTTGGTGATTGCCGTTTGCTGGTAAACCAAAACGGTGGCAATGGAGAGGCGATTTTATGGTGGTTCAAGTGACCCGCACGGTCAGACCCAAGCGGACTTTGACCCAAATCGATCCAAAAGGAATTATCAGATGACTCATCTTCACTGAAAGCTGGGCTTTTCATCAGTTCTCCAACCGAAACACTTTCATTTTCTTCAAATATGGTACTACTAGTCCCATCTCTATCAGAGGCATTATCTTCTAAGAGGTCTGTCTCAAACACATCCCTCACTTGAGCTGAAGTGTATGCACCAGAGAATACCGGCATCTGAGCAGCTCTACGAGCAGCCTCTGCGGAGGCTGGTTTATCACCATTTGTACCAACGTCATGATCTTCAAGACCAACCAATCCGTCCAGACCATCTATCGAATCACTGAGATATAACGGATATTGAGGTGTGATCTTCACAATTCCCGATCCTGTTTTCCCGGACTGACTCTGAAGATTACCCATCACCGACTTCTTAATCAACAGACATCCAAAACCTGTAGGATCATGCCCAAAGACCTTGTAGAACGAGGTGATGATAAACTCTGGTCGAAACAATGATAACCCGAGCGAATCCATATCTTTGGGACCTAAAGAACCAGCATCAAGCAACACATGCCAGTTGTTCTGCTGAGCCAGAGCCATCCACTGGTAAGAGTACTTAGAACCCGTAACCCTAGACTGCGCAGGAAACACAAACAACCCAACCGCAGAATCCTTCTTCTTCCTCTTCTTGTGAGACAAACGCTTCTTCAAATCCGTGGAACACAGCTTCAAAGTTGGCCATTTAAACCAAGCGTTATAAGCTTTCGCACCTTTCTCTCTCGCAGTCTGAGCCATCCAATTCACAGACTGACTCTCATGATCAAACATTGTCAAAAGCCGCTTATTCGTATGAAAAGGGTAAGATTCCGCAAGCAACCTAAACGCAGAGCCTCTACTTACAGTGAAAACAAGACCATACTCACTCTCAGGTATATTAAGATAATCCATTATCCTAGTCTTGAGATCATGTTCCACAGTTCCAATCTCAGCTCCACCATAAAGCGCATGGTTACTCAAATTCGCAGTAATCTCCGATAAACTAAACGTACAAGAATCCCAATAATGCAAAGTCTGAACATACGAAAAAAGCCCAAATCCACAGTAATCAAGACATACCTTAGAATCCAACAAGTGACCATACTCATCAGATCTCAACTGATCAACTTTCTCAGAAGTCTCAAACTTTGGATACATAATAAGAAACTTATTAAAAGCTTCAAGAAGCTCAGGTATGTCATCTTCAGACTCAAAAGTGCGTTCAGCAGCTAAAGCAGTAGCACGTAAGAACTCACGTTGAGCGTGTAACCTAGCCAAAGATCTAGAACGACCTAAGCTATCATCTTGATTCTCTTTCTCAACTTCTTGAGATTTAAAGAGCAACCCATTCTCAGATGCTTCTTCAAGAGCATCTCTAAGCTTATCTTCATACAATTTCCTAAGCATTGAAGCTTTTCTTCTAACATCAATTGGTGAATCAGAACCATCTCTTCTCCTACTCTTACTCTTATCTAAGATCAGAGTAGCACAGTGATGAATTTGCTTCCACAAAGGAAAATGCATTAATCTCAAATTTCAGAAGAAGGGTAACAAAAAAAAGGGTTCTTTTTTCTTTTTTTCTCTAGCCCATAAGAGGAAAAAAACCCTAAAAAGTGAAGATCTTGAAGAAGATCAAGAGAAGCCACTAAAAACGGAAACTTTCACAAAACCCACAAAAAAGTAAACGACTTTCACGGAAGAGAATTAGCAGAATTTTCAAACAAACAGTCAGATCCCAAAATTGTGAAAGGAAGAAGATGAATTTTGTGAAAGCTTTTGCTCTGTATTTTTTTTTTTTTTGGGAAGATTTTAGAGAAGAAGATGATGATAATAAATGCAAAGCTGACTCCTTTCACCACCAATCTCTCGTCTCATTTACTACACAACACTCTCTCTCTCTCTCTCTACTCAGTGCCTTTCTCTTTCTAATCCTTGGGTCAAAAAAAGGCATTGACTTTTTTTTCATAGAAGCAGAGTAGTGGTGGTCTTAGGGTTTTGATGAGAAGCTTAATTAATTAAGTTTGTGTAATCATTTGATTTTCTATTATTCGAATGAAAGATATAGTAAGCTCATTTTCTGCATTGTGAATAGACAGTAATTTTATATAACGTTTATTGTTTAAAGTGCTTATTTTAATTAGAGTCAAACAAAACAGAAATTATATTTTTTTACTTAAGAAAACTGATATTTGTCTTATTTTGTGCCCTGAAAAAAATGTAGGAATTAGTCAACTTCTGGAAGCAAAGAAAAAAGGTAATTTATTTAGGGAAAAAAATACTGTCCACACCACATTTGGGATTTATAAGTTCATTTTGGTAAATTAGGATTATATTTAGAAAAAAATAAATTTTTGTATTCAATTTAAGAAAGTAAAAAGCTTTAATTTAGATATGTTGGGAGTGTTGGGTAAGGAGACCAAATGTATTAAATATGTTAGGTTGAGAACAGTGGGAAGATTCTTGCTCTTTTTTAGACTCCACATTTATGAAAAAAATTATTGCAGAATATTTATTCAAATAGCTTATACAATTTTATGTGTTATTATTAGTAGCTTTTAATTCGGAAAAAATTGGCAATTATAAATGACTTTATGAGATTCTTCCTAGTATACTGTACTTGAAAGTATTTTTTGTAATATTAAAGTTTGGAGATTTTTGGTTTAGAGACTTCTAATAAGTTTACATTCATTAAAATTGAGAAAATATTTCTAGTTGTTAAACTTAATCTTTCAAATAAGAGATTTGGATCTTAAAAATAGATTAACTAGAGTTTAAACAAAAGAGCTTAGCTTAGATTTTGAAGTTGCTTGCACATAAGCAACAAAACCAAACAGAGAGGGTCAAGTCCAAAAGAGAGCTTAACAATTTAGACTAACAAAATACGTTGGATTTTCCTTCTGAAACTTCTTCTAAAATCCACTTTGGCTCCTTCGACGCTGCCTTAGTCTTCCACCAATGCTATTTGGATTAGGTTCGAGAGCCGCTTTCCTCTTACTTCTCGTTACTCGAGTACTCACTGACTTACCCCCGGTCTCAGTCTCATCGCATATGACCTGGTTCTGAGCTTTGACAACAACGGTCTGACTTTCCCCAAAACTTGTCTCCAAATTCAAATCTGGTCCTGTCCCTTCTTGAATTTCTGGAAGATCATCATCAATGTGGGCACATGAATGTTCTTGTTTATCCTGCTTTGGCGTCTCAAGATAACTCAAAACCTGCGCATCCACCAATGGAGTTTGATCATCCACAGGAATCAAGTAGCTAACTGGTCTTGTCTCCAAATCCGGGTCTTGTCCTGTCCATTTTTGAATTTTTGGAAGATCATCACCAATGTGGGCACATGAATGTTCTTGTTTATCCTGCTTAGGCGTCTCAAGATAACTCAAGACCTGAACATCAGCAAATGGAGTCTCGTCATCCAGATGAAGCACGTAGCTAACTGGTTTCGTCTCCAAATTCAAGTGTTGTCCTATCTTTTCCTGAACTTCTGGAAGATCATCACCATTGTGGGCACATGAATGTTCTTGCTTTGGTGGCTCAAGACAACTTAAGACCTGAACATCCACGAATGAAGTTTGATCATCCACAGAAGGCAATAAGAAGCTCAGTGACCTTCTAGCTGAATTCAGCGTCTCATCCTCCTCTTTCTTCAAGGAATCACCACTCTGATTTTCGATGATCTGAATCTTTTGTACTTCTTCAGGGAGATCACCATTCTGATTTTCGTTTATGTTTTCATCTTCCTCTTTCTGCAAGGAATCATCATTCTCAAGCGTTGGTACTTCTTCATCATCAGCAATCTTTCCTTGAAAGGAAAGTGATCTCTTTGCAGAAGCTTGATTTGGGGCTGCATCTTGAGTTTGCGCCCGTTTGGTTTGAATCAGATAATGTGCTACAGACTTATACCCAAGTGCAGCTATCTAGAATCTCAATAAAGAAAGAAATCTTCAGCTCTTGATTCTATTCAAGAATCGAAAAACCACAAGATAATACAAAAGAACAATCGAAAGAAAACAACGCACCCTTCTGTAAATCGGGCCAGTTGGAACCCATCCTTTATTATTCCGGCACAAACTGCAATTGCAAATCCCGCGACAAGCAGGACAAATCCAGTTTGGATTCTCCAGAGCTTCAAGCACATGTTCACCATATCTGTTTATCAACAAGAATAAAATACATTCACCACCAATAACAGAAAACCTCCATTGCTAGTAAATCATATTAAGTAGCAACCAACCTCATGAACAAACAATCTCCACAGAATTGTCCTTGAACCAGGTTGCATTCGCTGCACTGTGTACGATATCCCATCGTTTTCTGCCTGTAAGACACACACATAAACACACTGAAGCATTAAGCAAATTGCGTTTCAAAGAACTGCAATATCAACACATGGGTTTGGTTCTTACCTGCATTGATGACAAGTCTTACCGTTAAACGGATCATAAATCCGTTTACCATTCTTATCATAACCATCAACAAAACAAGTCCAGCTTCGTTCTGTATTCCCAAGAAGCTTCTCATGTTCCTCTGTGTAAATCTCGGCTCTTGTCCCTTCACCAATCACCACCACACTCTCTCGTTTAGAAGTTTTCTTACCCTTCTCATAGATCCCATCAGTGTAGATTACTGGAGTTGTGTTCTCCAATCTAACAATCACAGAAGAACAAGCAATCATAAACCCTAATTCCTCCATAAAAAAAAAAACCCATCTTTTTAACTGAGACTAATCGATTCACAAACCCTAATTTTGATTCATAAACCCTAATTCCTACTCAAAAACCCCAATTCCTCCATAAAAATCTCTCCTTTAAACTGAAACTAATCGATTCATAAACCCTAATTCCTACTCAAAAACCCTTTTTTCAAAATCGACTCAGATGGAAAGAGAGAAACAGAGACAGAGAATCAAAGAGATTACCGAGAAGATCGACGAGAAGGCTGAAGAGGAGGAGTCGGATTCTGAGAGGAATTAGGGTTACCATAAGATCTTTTACCGGGTCGGGTCTGGGGTTTGAGTTTGCGAGAGAGATTCAAGATACCCAAATTTTGCATCCTCTGAAGATTCTCTTTGATCCTCTCTTCTCTGCATTGCTCGTAAAGAGAGACCTTTGGGGTTTCATTGATTAATTCTGGGTTAGGGTTTGATTTGGGGGTTGAATCTTGTGCTTTGGTTCTCATGGTGAGCATGATGATGACGATGAATCTACTGGGTTTCAGATTTTTAGTGCTCTCTGGAGAAATGATAAAAGTTTAGATTTTTATTTTGTTTGTGGTGATGTTACAGCAACGGTCGGATTTATTATTTGAAAAATGTGCTCAGGGAAATGGGGAATTGTGTTTTGAGGGTGTTTTTAGTAGCTTCTGTATCCTAATGATGGGACTTAATCTTATTTTTTAAAAAATATTTTTGTTTCTCTAATTGCAATACAGCTACTCCCTCTGTTCCAAATTATAGGATGTTTAAGCCTTTTTTTCTTGTTCCACAATATAAGATTTTTTCAGATTTTTATGCATAATTTATGTTTATTTAGTTTATTTATGACCTTTTGAATTCTGCTGTCCTTTTTTCTATTGGTTAAATTTTTATAAATAAATAAACATTTATTACTTCTTAATCTTTGTGCTTTTAACAAAAGCATCTTATAATTTGGAACAGAGGGAGTATTAAATAGTAGAATTATGGAAAGTTGTGTAAACTTTTACTTTTTACACATTTACTTTTTATAGTTTAAAATATTTTATTATCCTAATTAGTTTTAAAAAATAAGATTATTGTCCAAAAATAGGATTTTTTGTATATAAGAAAATAGCATTTTTGAAAGTTTTTTGGCCAAATGGCAAAACTTATAAACACCCCTCAAAAAAAACAAAAAAAATTTGTTTGATTAACAAAAAAAAAATTGTATGATTAACAAAAAAAAAAATTGAACTACTGGTAATTCTTCATCTATAAAATTGGAGAGACTTTTCATTAATTACTGTTCCAACAAATTTGAACTACTTTGAATTATGAGTCTAAATACAGAGAGTTCAAGCTTCCAACGAATTAAAGGTCTCGTTGTTATTTTCTCACTAGCAAAAGGAAAAACTAGACCACGTTGATGAACCACCACTTGAAAAATCTTGAAGCCTCCATTTATAACAAAAGAGTCAAACCAAATTCATTTTAACCAATTAAACACAATCTCACAAGTTTCCTTCGATCCCAAACTACACTTTATTATCTTATTCTATAAATCTCAAACAATAACACTAAAGTTTCTCAAAATCAAGAGATATGGCCACAAGAGCTTCTACTTCAAGCAGAGTCTCAGCCATGGACATGACTCTCTACTTCGCCTTCTTCTTCCTTTTAACTCTCACTGCTTCAGTGGAAGCTGCTGGTCGTGGAGTTAACAATACTAACAAAGGCGGCGGATTAGGAGCTTCTTTCATATTCGGAGATTCTCTAGTCGATGCCGGAAATAATAATTATCTATCGACGTTGTCTAGAGCCAATATGAAGCCTAATGGTATTGATTTCAAAGCCTCCGGAGGAAATCCTACTGGTCGGTTCACTAATGGCCGGACCATCGGTGACATCGTTGGTACGTACAAAAAATGAATAAAAGATCATCAATATATCCATCTATACTCTATAATCCATATATAGTAAATGATATACATATTTGGTCCAGATATTATGTTCAACTAACACCTACACATTTATGTTGACGTTTATTATTCTTTTGTTGAGATGTTCATTTTTTTAGTTAAAATGATTAAATTCGTAGTGTTGATACGTTTATTTGATCTATATACAAGTTGAATTTTGATATAAATGGTTCTAAAACGTTAAATTTCATTTTACGATTTTCTAGGGGAAGAACTCGGATCAGCGAACTATGCGGTCCCATTCTTGGCACCAAACGCGAAGGGAAAAGCTTTATTAGCCGGTGTGAATTATGCATCTGGAGGAGGAGGAATCATGAATGCCACCGGGAGAATCTTTGTATGTACCAAACTAATTCTAATTATATTTGGATTTGATATTTTTAAGTTCATTCTTGAAGTTCTGACGTTACCTAATTGTAAATATTTGGTAGGTGAATAGGTTAGGTATGGATGTACAAGTTGATTTCTTCAACACTACACGGAAACAGTTTGATGACCTACTTGGAAAAGAGAAAGCAAAAGAGTACATAGGAAAGAAATCGATATTCTCAATCACTATAGGAGCAAATGATTTCCTCAACAATTATCTATTCCCACTTCTCTCCGTCGGAACACGGTTTAGTCAAACTCCCGATGATTTCATCGGCGACATGCTCGAACATCTACGCGATCAACTAACCGTAAGCGACAAAATATTGATCTCATCCATCGAACTAAATTTAGAGAGTTTTTGTTTTGTTCATTTGTTATCATATGCATGTTATAAGCTTAATTACAATCTATGGTTGAAAATACAGATGCTGTATCAATTGGATGCGAGGAAGTTTGTGATTGGGAACGTTGGACCGATTGGATGCATACCGTACCAGAAAACGATCAATCAATTAGACGAAAACGAGTGTGTGGATTTGGCTAATAAGCTAGCAAATCAATACAATGTTCGGTTAAAGAGTTTATTAGAGGAACTAAACAAGAAACTTCCCGGAGCAATGTTTGTCCACGCCAATGTGTACGATCTCGTCATGGAGCTCATTACTAACTACGACAAATACGGTAAAATATATTTTCGTCTTCTACAACTCACACACGCACACTACCATATATACACATTTTAAGCCATGAAATGTAGATTGTGAATATCTGATATAAAGATTCTTGGATTTATAAACTTGGTATAGGGTTCAAATCTGCGACAAAGGCTTGTTGCGGTAATGGAGGACAATACGCGGGTATAATTCCGTGTGGACCGACTTCGAGTTTGTGTGAAGAGAGGGATAAATATGTGTTTTGGGATCCTTATCATCCGAGTGAAGCAGCAAATGTTATCATCGCAAAGCAATTGTTATATGGTGATACAAAAGTTATATCTCCTGTTAATCTCAGCAAACTTAGAGATATGTGATTTGATTGTTTGTTGAACTAAATGTCCCTTTGGAGATTTATATACATAATTTCTTGCATTTACGTTTGGGATACGCCAAGTTAAGATTGCTCTTTGTATGTATGTGTTGTTGTGTTTGATTTAGTGAGAATGCTTTTGTTTTGTCAAGATGTGATAAAATTTGAGTTACACATACATTGTTTGGAACTGGATTACCTCTTTTGCCAAAGTTTTCAAAATCGGAGCGGACACCGATTCGACATTGTTATATGGTATTGTATTGGTAGCTAGTCCGATCGATGGAGACCAAATTTTAAACTTTTTTCTTAATAAAATAAAAAGGTATATTTATTTATTGATAACAAAAATAGACAACAAATCAAAAGAAAAATGTACTTTTAATAAAATGAAAAGATTAAATAGAAAATAGAAACTGTTACAAATAGAATATACGCACACACATATGATAAATGTTACATAATTTATGTGGAGTCCACCGTCTCTATGAGAGCACAATAAATTTATCTTTTATTTTCTGAAATTTCTTTTGTAAACTCTTCTCCTCCTAATTGGGTAACCAATCTAGGAGTTACTTATTAATTAATGTGTGGTTGACAAAAAAAAAAAAAAAAAGACACAACATTAGCATAATTAACTTCAATTATATGTAGATAACAAATGAAAGAAAAATGTACTTATAATAAAAAGAAAAGATTTAACAGAAAATAGAAACTAATTTATAAAACTAAAAAGGTGGTTCAAAAATTCAAATTAGTCTTTGATATAAAAAAAAACTCAGATTAGTAAAAAGTTAATGACTAGTGACTGAACTTTTGTGAACCAGGTTTTTTTTTGTTTTGATATTGAAATACGGTTCAGTTCAAACCAATTTTATTATATATCTAGACTCGGCAACCTAATTTCCGGTCGGTCCGACCCGGTTTGCTAAACACTATCTCTCTCTCTCTAGGGATTTTCCGTTAATGTCGCCGGCGACGGAAACTCGGGAATGTGGGTCCTCCATTCCGACGCAAAGGCAGCAAATTTACAGTCGTTTCAGCCGCAGAGCATCCCCTTCTTCTCTAAACCGCAGCAACCGTAGAAATTCCTACAAAAACGTCGTCGTTTTCGCTACATTAATAGCAGCAGCAAGTAGAGCAGTTGGATTATCAAAAGCATCTGCTTTAGATTCTTAGTTTTATTGCTTAAGTGCTTGAAATTGTATAAAGGTTAGAGGAAATTTGATGAAAAGTTTCGTCTTTTGTTGAATCTAATTGAGAACTATAGGTTAGATTAGTGCAGTGGAGTTTGATGCAAGCCACATTGTTCTGTTGTTCTCATCTTGTATTTGGAAATTGCTTTGCGATATTTGGTTATGGTTATGGTTCTGGTTCTTCTCCATTGGCTTCTTTTTTCTCTTCAGCTTCTTTGTTCAACACCTTATTGACGGTTAGAGTTAGTATCCCTCGTACTCTGAGTTCCAAGGACTGGTATAAACCAACGTCAAAGTGATTGTTAGTTAGTTTATGGCTATTGTCTGAGGTCCAGAGAATGGTACACCAACTTTACATTGACTGTTAGTTTTAAGTCGGTAGAGTTGATGGAGTTAGTTAGTTAGTAGGTCGCCCTCTGGATTGGATATAATCTTCGAGCACGGAATTATCTCTTAGAGCATAATCTTTGGGTGAAAAACTGTTTATATTTATGGACCTCAATATAAGAGACCGGTCCTGGTTATTTTACCTTCTCTTTTTAGCCTCTTGTCATCTATTTTTTCGACTATTAATAATTAGTTTCGCTGGTAGCTGTCCGCGATTTCCAAGAGATGGCTACTTAGTAGTTGAGGCTTGCAGAACATTGGCATATGACCTGTCTCTTCCATCTCTATCGCCGGATAATTGATTGTTCTTTTGAAATGGCTTTGTCCTCTTTTTTCTCCTCTAGTTTTTCTTTGCTTTAGTGCTTGAAGTTGTCTAATGGTAGACGAAAGTTGTGGAAAGGTTTTAGCTTTTCTTGAATCTAAGGTTATATCAGTGCAGTTGGAATATTGTTCTGTTGTTTTCATGTTGCATATAGAATTGCTCTGCGAAATTGCTTATGGTGATGTTGCGCAATGCAGACATTGCAGTTCCCTCTAGTGTGATGCTATGATCCTACATTCGAAACCATGAGGCCTTATAACTGCTTCTCTATGTAATACCGTTTTCTCACGAAACTTTATTTATAACACTTTTTTTATAAGTATTATCATTTGCTTAGCTCTCATACATATAAATGTATTCTCTTATGGCGTATTATTGTTGGTGCAAGCTGAAGTTGGTAACTCATTTGCAGGGACGATGTCAGGTTAATTTTGGCAATATTTACCTGCAATCTCCAGGAGAAGAGCACAAACTTCTTGAGGCTTGGAGAACATTGGCATATGATCTGCACATTTGATCTCCATTACTTCTTTTGGCGGAAAGTTCGTGATCATCCAATGCTGGTAATCTTCGGGTACCACAAGATCCTCTTCGCATACAATATATATACGTGTAACGGATCCGTACCCTTCCTCACTGAAGCTTCTTGTCCCTGCCAGATTGTTTGTAACTAACGGGTTTGTCCTCACCAACGTCTTCACCAATTCAAGATCCTTATTCGCCACAACAACAATCAACAAAAGATTGAATGAGGTTACTAGCACAACCCCATTTGTTTTTTTAAAAAAGATTGGAGTCTTACTTGAACTGGAGAGTGTTGATACATTTTCTTGGCCATAAACTTTGGTCCCAAAAGAGTACTCTGTAGAGGACAATCAGGTTTCCCGTAGGTTCCACACTCGGTGTCCAACCATTCCTCTTGTGGAATGCTTCCGAGCAGCTGCAGATTTCAGTCAAGTATCAGAATCACTCAGAAGAGATATCACTCAGATAACATCATGTTCATTTATGTACCTTTTCGTAAACATAAGCAGGTGGGTTTTTTGTGTCGGGCATGAAAGCTGTCACGAAGACAATAGCAGCAATCTTACAAGCGTAGATGTCAGCAGCAAGTGCAGCCGGTATTCCTCCCATGCTATGAGCAACAAGAATCACCTTATTGTCATCTGAGCCAAGCGAGCTCAGAAACTCAAGCAACGGTTTGCAGTAATCCTTCAGAGTCTGAATCTCTTCCACTCTGGTCATGTTTAGACCCGATGCAGCTAGATCCACTGCCGTCACACAGTGACCTGCAGCCTCCAGCTGCGTTTTCACCTTATCCCAAGTCCATGCGCCGTGGCAGACCCCATGGACGAGCACAAACCGCTTCTGGTTCTTATTCTCCATTGCCTTTCTTACTCTCAGCATCTTGGTTCAACGCTTATATATATATGGTGAGTTTCCCACATATACTCTTTGTATATTGACTGTTAGTTTTTGGTCGTTCTCTGAGATCCATTGACTGTTAGATTTCTCATTTCAATTATAGTAAGTAATAAAGTCTGAACCTTTAGAAAGATCCATTTTAGAACACTCTTGATTGTATCAAATCTAGACACATTTTTTGTTGCTGGACTTGTAGACTCGATATGAGGTAGTTCGTTGGCGTGTTGGAGTTCGTGGTGATTGCTTCAGTGGCCATAGTATTGGCAGGAATAAGGTTTTGAAAAGAGAGATTGTAAAAATTTTAGTTTTTCTTTTCCTTAGGGTATCTGAAACCATATAGTTTTCAAAAGTGAATGCTTTATTAGAGACTCTAGGAATATGTTTATTACAATTAGAGCCTTAAATGTACATATTAGATCTTCACATTACATTGGTAGAATCTGGGTGGGTGATAGTTCCATGGACAGACAAAAAGTTATTCTTCTGTAAGATGTTGCTAAAGATATGTCGCGCAATGTAGAGATTGAAGTCCCTCTTTTATGATGTTACTATTGAAGTTTCTTAATTTGAAATCAAGAGGCGTTGTAACTGCTTCTCACGTTGTAAAGTATTTTCACGAAATCTTATTCATATCCATTCTTATAACTGATTAATTAAATCATTCTTCTGAATGTTGTTTCTCATATGGCTTATTGTTGTGGTGGAAGTTGAAGTTTGTTACTCATGTGCAGTGACGATCTCAGGTATATTTAGGCGTATATATCTGCAGTCTCCAAGAGAAGAGGACATAGTTCTATAGGTTTGGAGAACATTTGCTCTGCATCTTTGATCTCCTCTTTGTGCATCTATTCTTTTAACAGTTAAGTCTCCCTGGTAATCTAAGATCTAGAGAATGGTTCACTATCATTTTATTGACTATTAGTTTTCACTCAGTAGAAACTTATAGCTATGAGCCTATGATCATAAGGACATCAATATGACTAGGAGGAATCATTTATTTTATTTTATTTTTGCTCGTAAACCTTACCCGTGGAATCTTCTAAATACGAACTCCTATTCGTTATGCTAACATTCTCCCTTTGCTCGTTCATCTCATGTATGTATTTTCAGCTGCTTACATAATGACATACCACTACCATCTTTGCTTATTGTGGTTAGAAGCTGAATTCCATTTTAAGATATGCAGGTTTATGGGCATACAATCTGCATCTTTTGATAATTCGACGCTGGAAATCTTGAGGTAGTGTGTTATCCTCTTCTTACATTCTTATTCATATAATTATTCTTACGAATAATATCATTTGCTTATTTCTTATACATACATAATGTAGTCACTTAGATCACTCACATCTGGCTTGGTATTATGGTGGAAGCTGAATTTTGCAAGTATAATGCAGTGAAGATCTCAGGTTTGTTTAGGCATATTTATCCGCAATCTGCAAGAGAAGAGCGCAGAGTTCTTGAGGCTTAGAGAACATTGGCATATGATCTGCATCTCTAATCTCCAGTACTTCTTTCGCCGGGAAGCTCTTAATCATTTCACGCTGGTAATCCTCAGGTACCGCAACATCCGCTCCACATACGATATATATACGTGTAACGGATCCGTACCTGTCCTCACTGAGGCTTATTGTCCCTGCCAGATTGTTTGTCATGAACGGGCTTACCCTCACCGACATTTTCGCCAATTCGAGATCCTAAACCAACACAACAACAATTAATAAAAGTTTGACTGAGGTTACAAGCAATCCCATCTAGGCTTGGAGTCTTACTTGGATTGGAGATAGGTTATACAAATACTTGGCCATGAACTCTGGTCCAAAAAGAGCAAACTCTAGAGGACGGT